TTGCTGAACTGCACTTTATCAAACATAACAGTGACAGCGCTTTCTTCGAGCTTTTCAACCTCCCCATACAGAACAGGAATTCTCAAAACAGCAGCTCCTAAATTATTCTCCAAGACAGCCTTTTCTCCTTCCAATTTTGTTTTGCCATATAAATTTAGGGGGGCTGGTATGTCTTCCTCTCTATAAGGTGGATTTGTTCCATCAAACACATAATCTGAGCTAATGTAGATAAGAAATGCTCCAACTGCAGCTGCTTCCTTTGCTAAATTCCCAGAAGCATCCACATTAAGCTGAGAAGCAGCATCTGGCTGATTCTCTACAACATCCGGTCTTCTCTCTGCTGCACAATGTACTATGACATGGGGCTGAAAATCATGAATGATGTGATGAACTGCTTCAGAATCCAACAGATTAACCTGTTCAAACTTTGGCCTTGCTCTTCTAAAACCACAACCAATCGCATGCCAGTTGTTCTGCTGGAATTCTTTGTACACAGCTCTACCTAGAAGCCCAGTGGCACCAGTCACCAGAGCCCGCCTGCTGGGGATGTTCACTTCCTCCTGTTCCATGTCCTCTGGCATTTCGGGCATGGCTAGATTTCGGGGGAAGAGAATCGGGGGAGTCTCGGCGTCCACTTTTCGTGGCCGCGGCTTTGTCTGCTCAAAGTGTGTATTCTTGAAGGTCTAAGAACTACAACCAAGCCTTCTAGTTATTTTAAATTTTAGCTATTTATCAACAGAAAGATGAACAACACTTTTTGTTTAGAACTTTTGATAGAAAAACTGCTAAAGCATACTTCCCTGGATCCTAATTTAATAGACAGACAGATTATTCTTACAGATAAGTTCATTACTCAGCCAGCTCTAGGTATTAGAAAAGAGCTACAAAAGATAGCTTTTGCTCCAGACCACTCATTTGATACTGTAGTAAAAATCTCTTTAGTGTCCTATAATCAGGACTGGGAAAAAACCAGGGAGAAAAAACAAAGAGATCAAAAATAGCTGCCATTATTGCAGCCTCAAGATAGATCCTAAGTCTGATTCCCTGGGCTCCAAGAAGAGCTCAATGACAATGAGATTCATCTGCTGCTGATGTTTACCTGCTCCTGCTGTCAGAAGCCAGGAAATCATAAGAAGGACTGCCTTAAGAGGCCCGCACACATGCCCTGATTGCCAAGGCAGCCACTGGAAGTGAGACTGCACTCTGAGGTGGAGGCCCCAGAGCTCAGAATCAGCTTCCCAGGTGATCTATTAGGACTAAAGGGTACTGGGCCTGTCTCTTCCCTCTTCCTGGACTGTTGTCTCTACCTATCATCTCCACAGAGGAGCTCTGAATAATCGTGACTAAAAGAAAACCCAGCCTATTGCTGGACATTGGCACAGGTCTCTTTGTCCTTGGCCAACCCTGACCTTCCTTCCAGACATCCACCTCAATAGAAACAAACTTTAGAAGACATCTTGCTTTAGCTGTAACTGAGATACTACAATATATATAGGTTGCTTACTAAGCAAAATGATGCACAGACTGATTTTTTACAAATGTAATATATATTGTTCATGTACAAGGACTTAAAAGTTATTTCATAGATTAAAACAGATTCTTCAAGGACAGATAAAATCCTGTCAGCATCAAAAAGTTCTAAAGACACTGGCTACACAGTGTTCAATAACTTTGGGCCTATAGATAGAGCCAGGTCTTGTATTTGTGACATAAAACTCAGCCTTAGTGTTAAAAGGAAAAACCCTTCAGTAGTGCCCGTTGCTTACAATGGTGACCATGTCTAAAGCACTGAATGGGACATTGGTTTAATCTGACTAAACGCTATGTATTTCATAATAAATATATAAGTTCATTTATGGTTGATTTCTGAACTAAAGCTAGAGGGACATATAGTAAACCATTAGACTCCATAAATAAAAAGATCTAAGAGCTAGTGAGTTACACTTGTTATGCCTCAAAAAAAGTTAATAAATTTACCTGTTAGTTTGAATACTCATGATTTGATTACACATGTTCTAATCCCTCAGGAAATTTTTTCTTTCTTAGAAGATACCAAAACCAGGTGATTATGCAGGTAAAACCTATAGCAAATATGCTAGATTGCATTTAGATTCCTTTCGCTTGGATCCACCAGATTTTGTCTATAGAGACATAATAAGGCCTTAACTGTCCATTTCATACAGTGCAGGTGAGCTAAGCCCTCTCTAGGGTTTCCTGACTCATTACAAGGGACGCTATCTTCACATTCCTTGGGCAGGGCTAATTGCCCTCAAAATGTTTCCTTTATCAATCTAATCCTATATCAGAAAATTCACAACAGGGGTAGTCGCCCTCATATTCTTGAACAGGGCTGCCTGCAGGAGATCTTAAAACCAAAAAGTTGTATATTTCTCAGTGAGCTCCAGATATCTGACACAAGCTGCAGAACTTAAAAGGGTTTACAGGAATGAATTTGAGTTGAGATGTTTCATAGTAGAAAGGATAGAGAATGGAATTATAGACATAAAATGAGAATAGTGGTACTAGCAGCCTACAGAAATGAAGGTCAGTTGGGAAATGGGGGAAAAGTTGTTTTGAAGAATCCAGACAGAGACAAAGGACATCTCAAGCAAAAATGTCCAAAGATGCTAGAGAGGGAAAAAAGAGCATTCATGATGGAGTCAGAGGAAGTTTCAGATTGAGGTGGGCATGGGTCTTCCCCTCTCAGCCTTAGGGAACTCATGTTAACTGCTAATATAAGGATAAAGACTGTTAAACTAGATGTTCATGCAGATACACAAGTAGTTACCCAGCCAGTGGCCCTCCTTGAAAACTGGAGAGTACACAGTGTTTTCTCTAGGTCCTGTAATTCATGTGCCCCCCAGTAATGAGAGTTCACCAGTTTATTTGGAACAATACCCAGTGGCCATGGAAGATTTTTTAAAAAGGTTTAAAACCCACAATTAAGAGATATCTGCTAAGGGACCTACAAAAGGTTCTAACTAGTCCTTTTATAATAATAAACTATAAGATATTGACATTCCAGACCCTTCTAATGTCTCAATAGCTGTTCAAAATGTTACAGGCAGCCAAATTAGATAGAAATATTATAGGCAGTCAGAAAGAGCCAGGCCCTCAAGGAGACAAGATGGAAGACAAGGTGACCTTGAAACTTGGAAGAGATAAACACTCCCATATGGGCCACACCTGAAGACCAAGACAAAAAGAAGAAACACAGTTACACACTTCCCTAGGGATGGGCATTATGGATTGATATCCTAAATAAATATCACCTTGAAAGAACACAAATGAGTCACTAGCCCAACCCCCAACAGAAAGAGACCCTGTCCCATATTCATGCCCACCTGCTAAGTGACTCACTTAGACATTTGGTCCTGGACTTAATCAACTTTACCTGAGCAATGGTGCTTGTAATCTCATTCATTGACCATAGTTTTGTTCCACCTCATGCCCACCTAAGCGAGTTACCATGTTCTCCACCACCTTAGACCCACCTCATCGCATGGTTTTACTCTATAAAAGTCCCTGGAAGAGACAAATTCCCAGGGACAACCCGCTTGGGCCCCCCTCCTGTCCCTCTCTTGGGTAGGAGCTTACTTTTCCTCAATAAATATATTCTGTTCATAACCTTCATTTGTTCCTAAAATTCATTCTTCGATTTTAGAGAACACGAACTCATGCAAGTCAGGTCGGGATATCATTTTTCCCTATGTATTTGGAGGTTCCCTATATCGTTTGGAGGTCATCCACTCGAGATTTGTTTTTCTCCCTTTATCAAAAATATTAGATATTCAAATCAATGGTATATAAAATGCTGAGGTCCCCTGCACCCTGTCTTTATCATTTTTATGAGAAGTCATTACTGTCCACTTGGCAAAAATCAATTTTTACTGTATTCATAATAATCCTGTTGTGATTATTTGACCCATGTATGTTTAATAGTTCCTTTGGCTTTGTCTCCTCCAGATTTAAAGCTATTACACCTACCTAACATAACAATGACTGGTGTCTATTAAGGGCCTTTTGGTAGAACCTCTGGAGAGTATCTCTGACTGCAAATCAACAACTCCAACCCCTTTCAGCCTGAAGAAGCCAGAGCGGTCATCACCCATTATTCCCTCACAGCAGTTTGGGTTACTTCTTCAGAGGAGGGAATGTTGTAGGCAGCTGAATTAGATAGAAATATTATAAGCAGTCAGACAGTGCCAGGCCCTCAAGGAGACAAGATGGAAGACAAGGTGACTTTGCAACTTGGAAGAAACAGACACTCCCTGTGGGTCAGACCTTGAGACAAAGAAGAAATTAGTACAGCTACATACTTTCCCAGGGTTGGGTATCAGGAATTGATATTCTAAATAGGTATCAATCACCTTGAAAGAGCCCAAATGAGTCACTAACCCAACTCACAACAGAAAGAGACCCTGTCCCATATTCATGCCCACTTGCTACGTGACATGCTTCCTCCTTCGGTACTGGATTTAATCAACTTTACCTGAGCAATGGTGCTTGTAAACTCATTGGTCGACCATAGTTTTGTCCCACCTCATGCCCAACTGAGAAAGTTTCCATATTTTCCACCACCTTAGACCTGCCTTACCGCATGGTTTTACTCTATAAAAGTCCATGGAAGAGACAGCTTTCTAGGGATCACCCACTCAGGGCCCCCTTTCTGTCCCTCTCTTGAACAGAAGGTTTCTTTCCCACAATAAGTGTATTCTGCTCATAACCTCAAAAAAAGTGAGTAAATGCCAGGAGTGGATGGTTCACACCAGACACACTTGGGAGTCTGAGTTAAAAGGATCACGATGAATTCAAGACCATCCTGGGCTACAAGTGATCTCAAGGTCAGCCTGCACTGCATAGTGAGACCTTGTCTCAAAAAGATGCCAAAAAAAGGAATCAAGATGTGTCACATATATGTACCAATTCCACACATGGAATGTAAATACGTACTGCAAACACATACTAATGAAAAAACCTTCAATAAATAGAGAAGAAAAAAATACTGCAAGCAGCAGTCTGATCTGAATTACTTGGCTGTCACTGCTTGTAGGACCTGTGGCCCTGTGGTCTTACCATGGCAGTGCCCGAGACCCACCCCAACCACACTATTTATATCAACAACCTCAATGAAAAGATCAAGAAAGATGAGCTGAAAAAGTCCCTGTATGCCATCTTCTCGCAATTTGGCCAGATACTGGACATTCTGTTGTCTGGGAACCTGAAGATGAGATGGCAGTCTTTTGTCATCTTCAAGGAGGTCAGCGGTGCCACCAATGCCCTGTGCTCAATGCAAGGTTTCCCTTTCTACAACAAGTGCATCCAGTATTCCAAGACTGACTCAGATATCATTGCCACAATGAAGGGTACTTTTGTGGAGCGGGACTACAAATGGAAGAAGAGGAAGCCCAAGAGCCAGGAGATGCCATCTGCCCAGAAGGTTGTGCAGGGTGGAGCAGCAGCCACTGCAGTCAGAGCTGTCCAGGGCCTTGTTCCAGGCATGCCACCCATTATGACTCAGACTCCACACATCATGCACCACATGCAAGGTCAGCCACCCTACATGCCACCTCTCAGAGAATCCACCAAATCACATCCTGTTCCTGAACAACCTGCCAGAGGAGATCAATGAACTCATGTTGTCCGTGCTT